ACAACCTTTATTAATATAAACTCCATTTCTCTCTCTTCCCTCGCTCCTCGAACTTTATTAATAACAACCTTTATTAATATTAAACTCCATTAACTCTCCCTTGAACTTTATTAATAACAACCTTTATAATATTAAACTCCATTAACTCTCTCCTCGAACTTTATTAATAATAACCTTTATTAATATTAAACTCCATTAACTCTCTCCTCAAACTTTATTAATAACAACCTTTATTAATATTAAACTCCATTAACTCTCTCCTCGAACTTTATTAATAACAACCTTTATTAATATTAAACTCCATTAACTCTCTCCTCGAACTTATTATAACAACCTTTATTAATATCAAACTCCATTAACTCTCTCCTCGAACTTTATTAATAACAACCTTTATTCATATTAAACTCCATTAACTCTCTCCTTGAACTTTATTAATAACAACCTTTATTAATATTAAACTCCATTAACTCTCTCCTTGAACTTTATTAATAACAACCTTTATTAATATAAACTCCATTAACTCTCTCCTCGAACTTTATTAATAACAACCTTTATTAATATTAAACTCCATTAACTCTCTCCTAGAACTTTATTAATAACAACCTTTATTAATATCAAACTCCATTAACTCTCTCCTCGAACTTTATTAATAACAACCTTTATTAATATTAAACTCCATTAACTCTCTCCTCGAACTTTATTAATAACAACCTTTATTAATATTAAACTCCATTAACCTCTCTCCTGAACTTTATTAATAACAACCTTTATTAATATTAAACTCCTTAACTCTCTCCTCGAACTTTATTAATAACAACCTTTATTAATATTAAACTCCATTAACTCTCTCCTTGAACTTTATTAATAACAACCTTTATTAATATTAAACTCCATTAACTCTCTCCTCGAACTTTATTAATAACAACCTTTATTAATATTAAACTCCATTAACTCTCTCCTCGAACTTTATTAATAACAACCTTTATTAATATCAAACTCCATTAACTCTCTCCTAGAACTTTATTAATAACAACCTTATTAATATTCAAACTCCATTACTCTACTCTCCTCGAACTTTATAATAACAACCTTTATTAATATTAAACTCCATTAACTCTCTCCTCGAACTTTATTAATAATAACCTTTATTAATATTAAACTCCATTAACTCTCTCCTTGAACTTTATTAATAACAACCTTTATTAATATTAAACTCCATTAACTCTCTCCTCGAACTTTATTAATAACAACCTTTATTAATATTAAACTCCATTAACTCTCTCCTTGAACTTTATTAATAACAACCTTTATTAATATTAAACTCCATTAACTCTCTCCTCGAACTTTATTAATAACAACCTTTATTAATATTAAACTCCATTAACTCTCTCCTCGAACTTTATTAATAACAACCTTTATTAATATTAAACTCCATTAACTCTCTCCTCGAACTTTATTAATAACAACCTTTATTAATATTAAACTCCATTAACTTCTCCCTTCGAACTTTATTAATATAACTTTATATATCAATCTACCATTACTTCTCATCGACCTTTTTAATACTCTCCTCGAACTTTATTAATAATAACCTTTATTAATATCAAACTCCATTAACTCTCTCCTTGAACTTTATTAATAACAACCTTTATTAATATTAAACTCCATTAACTCTCTCCTCGAACTTTATTAATAACAACCTTTATTAATATCAAACTCCATTAACTCTCTCCTTGAACTTTATTAATAACAACCTTATTAATATTAAACTCCATTAACTCTCTCCTCAAACTTTATTAATAATAACCTTTATTAATATTAAACTCCATTAACTCTCTACTCGAACTTTATTAATAACAACCTTTATTAATATTAAACTCCATTAACTCTCTCCTCGAACTTTATTAATAACAACCTTTATTAATATTAAACTCCATTAACTCTCTCCTTGAACTTTATTAATAACAACCTTTATTAATATCAAACTCCATTAACTCTCTCCTCGAACTTTATTAATAACAACCTTTATTAATATTAAACTCCATTAACTCTCTCCTTGAACTTTATTAATAACAACCTTTATTAATATTAAACTCCATTAACTCTCTCCTCAAACTTTATTAATAATAACCTTTATTAATATCAAACTCCATTAACTCTCTCCTTGAACTTTATTAATAACAACCTTTATTAATATCAAACTCCATTAACTCTCTCCTTGAACTTTATTAATAACAACCTTTATTAATATTAAACTCCATTAACTCTCTCCTTGAACTTTATTAATAACAACCTTTATTAATATTAAACTCCATTAACTCTCTCCTCAAACTTTATTAATAATAACCTTTATTAATATCAAACTCCATTAACTCTCTCCTCGAACTTTATGAATAACAACCTTTATTAATATCAAACTCCATTAACTCTCTCCTTGAACTTTATTAATAACAACCTTTATTAATATTAAACTCCTTTAACTCTCTCCTCGAACTTTATTAATAACAACCTTTATTAATATCAAACTCCATTAACTCTCTCCTCGAACTTTATTAATAATAAATTATCTTTCTGCTCACAAAAAATACTTTCCTCTTGCAGTTCTTCAGCATTTGTAATCATTTGACCCGTGGGCGTTAGGGCCAAACATGAATCTGTTTCAGATCTGACTATGAGTTCAATATAAACTGACTGACATTTATTTTGACTTTTTGTTCAGAATTTTGACTTTTTTTTCATTATTTTGACTTTATCTCAGAATCTGATCTTTCTTTTTTCCTACCTAGACATAACATTGAATCTGATCTCAAAACATTTCTCACGCCCTAATCCTCTTTCGTAATCCAAACAACATTTATTAACACATTTTTACTAATGTATTTAAAACTACCTTACTACAATTAGCTCAATTCAAAGTGATGATCAGATAATGACTCATTGATTAGAGACTAGTTTCTAAATATTGACATTATAATTACCAACTTGTGACTTATGCTAAATGATAACACCATAATTACAGAATGGATTAGTGATTGAAAACCATCCTTTAACTTACATACAACAAATGTATCATCAGTGTATTACTAATGTATAAATTACTTTAACCGACTTACTAGGAAACTATTACGACTATTACTTGTTTAAATGAAGTTATAACAGCTAACTCACTCGTAACTCATTATTAAACACACGTTTTGACCAGCATTATTATATGTGGTGTTATATATTAATATCAGGCACCTGCGTGTCCTTCCAGGTGGTGATGAGGCTGACCTCCAGCTCGATTTGCGTCTGATGCTCCTCGTCGATCTGAAACAGGAGCAGTGTTCAGTCCATCCTTACAACCCAGTTTAGATGGAACCACGAATCACATTACAAAGTGTTGGAAAAACGACACAGGTTCAGGTTTCAGGACAAAGAGGAGGGTCGTACTCACATCGAAGACGTGCAGGTAGTTGTCGATCAGATCCTCCACGATCTTCACCTCGTGCTCGCCCTTCCCGTGGGTCTGGAACAGGCTGGGGGCGAACAGCAGCGACAGGTTCTTGGTGCACATCTGGTTCAGATCGGCACACTTCTGGACCCTGGAACCGGATCGGAGAAGAACCCTGAATCCATTGCAGTGTTTTCAGAAGCTCAGCTGGTAGCTTTATTAGAAGGAGACGATGATACGGTACGGCACGATGATATGGTACGGCACGATGATACGGTACGGCACGATGATACGGTACGGCACGATGATACGGTACGGCACGATGATACGGTACGGCACGATGATACGGTACGGCACGATGATACGGTAAGATTAGATAATATGGTACGCCGCGATATGATAGAATACCTTACAAAACCATGATACGCTACGGTTATGTGCGGTACTGTATGATATTATAATACGATACGTTGCGGTACGGTACGGTACGGTAAGGTTCAATGATACGAGACGGTACAATATGATACGAATATACGTTAAGGTACGGAATGATTTGATAGAATGATACGGTGATGCGGTACAGTACGATTTAACGGTACAAGAAGATAATACATGATAAAATGATACTAAACAAAACGGTAAGAAACTATAAGATCAGGTCTGAATGTGCAACATCAACGAGGACCGATATTCAGACAGGAAACAGACATTAACAATATCATCACAATCACGGAAGAAGAAATGATGAAGACCCTCTACCATCAGATTTAGCTCTGGATTTCATTTAGGATTGACTTCAGTCTAACTTTATTGAATCGTGGGACCCTGTATCTCCCTTTCATCGTGAGAGTGTGCGATGGAGTCCTCAGGGAGCTCACCTGTACAGGTGACTGATGAGCGCAGCCAGGGTGGTCCTGTTGACCCGGGGCAGGGTCCGGATGATCTCCTTGTAGCAGTCCAGCCTCGCTCTCTTCTGGGGAATTCCTGAGGGCACATACATAAATCAGAACTCACCTATTCACATCCTGTCCTGAATATCACTCCCAGGATCTGTCATTCAGTGAGACAGGATCTTTAACTTTAAGGTGGTCTGCATGTCAGAGTGGACCCAGGTCACTTTAAGGTGGTCTGCCTGTCAGGGTGGAACCAGGTCACTTTAAGGTGGTCTGCCTGTCAGGGTGGAACCAGGTCACTTTAAGGTGGTCTGCATGTCAGAGTGGACCCAGGTCACTTTAAGGTGGTCTGCATGTCAGGGTGGACCCAGGTCACTTTAAGGTGGTCTGCCTGTCAGGGTGGAACCAGGTCACTTTAAGGTGGTCTGCATGTCAGAGTGGACCCAGGTCACTTTAAGGTGGTCTGCATGTCAGGGTGGACCCAGGTCACTTTAAGGTGGTCTGCCTGTCAGGGTGGAACCAGGTCACTTTAAGGTGGTCTGCCTGTCAGGGTGGAACCAGGTCACTTTAAGGTGGTCTGCATGTCAGGGTGAAACCAGGTAACTTTAAGGTGGTCTGCATGTCAGGGTGGACCCAGGTCACTTTAAGGTGGTCTGCATGTCAGGGTGGACCCAGGTCACTTTAAGGTGGTCTGCCTGTCAGGGTGGAACCAGGTCACTTTAAGGTGGTCTGCCTGTCAGGGTGGAACCAGGTCACTTTAAGGTGGTCTGCATGTCAGAGTGGACCCAGGTCACTTTAAGGTGGTCTGCCTGTCAGGGTGGAACCAGGTCACTTTAAGGTGGTCTGCCTGTCAGGGTGGAACCAGGTCACTTTAAGGTGGTCTGCATGTCATGGTGGACCCAGGTCACTTTAAGGTGGTCTGCCTGTCAGGGTGGAACCAGGTCACTTTAAGGTGGTCTGCCTGTCAGGGTGGAACCAGGTCACTTTAAGGTGGTCTGCATGTCAGAGTGGACCCAGGTCACTTTAAGGTGGTCTGCATGTCAGGGTGGACCCAGGTCACTTTAAGGTGGTCTGCCTGTCAGGGTGGAACCAGGTCACTTTAAGGTGGTCTGCATGTCAGGGTGGAACCAGGTCACTTTAAGGTTGTCTGCATGTCAGGGTGGAACCAGGTCACTTTAAGGTGGTCTGCATGTCAGGGTGGAACCAGGTCACTTTAAGGTGGTCTGCCTGTCAGGGTGGAACCAGGTCACTTTAAGGTGGTCTGCATGTCAGGGTGGACCCAGGTCACTTTAAGGTGGTCTGTATGTCAGGGTGGACCCAGGTCACTTTAAGGTGGTCTGCATGTCAGGGTGAAACCAGGTAACTTTAAGGTGGTCTGCATGTCAGGGTGGATCCAGGTCACTTTAAGGTGGTCTGCATGTCAGGGTGGAACCAGGTCACTTTAAGGTGGTCTGCGTGTCAGGGTGGAACCAGGTCACTTTAAGGTGGTCTGCATGTCATGGTGGACCCAGGTCACTTTAAGGTGGTCTGCATGTCAGGGTGGAACCAGGTCACTTTAAGGTGGTCTGCGTGTCAGGGTGGAACCAGGTCACTTTAAGGTGGTCTGCGTGTCAGGGTGGACCCAGGTCACTTTAAGGTTGTCTGCATGTCAGGGTGGAACCAGGTCACTTTAAGGTGGTCTGCATGTCAGGGTGGACCCAGGTCACTTTAAGGTGGTCTGCATGTCAGGGTGGACCCAGGTCACTTTAAGGTGGTCTGCATGTCAGGGTGGAACCAGGTCACTTTAAGGTGGTCTGCATGTCAGGGTGGACCCAGGTCACTTTAAGGTGGTCTGCATGTCAGGGTGGACCCAGGTCACTTTAAGGTGGTCTGCATGTCAGGGTGGAACCAGGTCACTTTAAGGTGGTCTGCATGTCATGGTGGACCCAGGTCACTTTAAGGTGGTCTGCATGTCAGGGTGGACCCAGGTCACTTTAAGGTGGTCTGCATGTCAGGGTGGACCCAGGTCACTTTAAGGTGGTCTGCATGTCAGGGTGGAACCAGGTCACTTTAAGGTGGTCTGCGTGTCAGGGTGGAACCAGGTCACTTTAAGGTGGTCTGCATGTCAGGGTGGACCCAGGTCACTTTAAGGTGGTCTGCATGTCAGGGTGGAACCAGGTCACTTTAAGGTGGTCTGCATGTCAGGGTGGAACCAGGTCACTTTAAGGTGGTCTGCGTGTCAGGGTGGACCCAGGTCACTTTAAGGTGGTCTGCATGTCAGGGTGGACCCAGTTGTATTTGCCGACTCACTGGCGGCGTCCTGCCACAGCGGGTGGAGGTCGGCCATGAAGACGGGGTCGTCCACCTCCCTGAAAAACCTCTTCAGGACGTCCGTGACGTCCTCGATGAAGTGGTCTCCGATGCGCAGCTTCACGTTTCGGGCGTCTTTCCGGAACTCGTCCATCAGGAGTTTGATTCTGGTCCTGGAGCCGTTCTTCCTGTAGATCCCCTCGTGACCCAGCCCTGCGGAGACAGAGCTGCCGACTCAGCGTTACGGGTAAAGGACACTTCACAGAGGGACATATATATGATAGACGTATTCAAGGGTGTAACTTTGGTTTGAGAAGTGGGGGGGACACAAAACAGGGGTCCTCCGCAATAAAACATTGTTCTCGATTTAATTCCATTTCCTGCCTTTCTACAAATATATTAGGGACTATGGTGTTAAAATCTTGCCTAGGCAGCAAATTGGTCAGGGCCTGATTCTCACAACCAATAACACATCATTGATAAACTCCTCTCCTAGCTGTATGCATATTTTACTAATCACTCCCCTTTCAAACTGTGTTTTTTATTTTTTACTGACATTGGAATTATTCCTTAACTTATTTTGAACAAAATGTGGAGGACACGGGTCAGAGTGGAGGACACGGTTCAGAGTGGAGGACACGGGTCAGAGTGGATGACACGGGTCAGAGTGTGGAGGACACGGGTCAGAGTGGAGGACGCGGGTCAGAGTGTGGAGGACACGGGTCAGAGTGTGGAGGACACGGGTCAGAGTGGAGGACACGGTTCAGAGTGGAGGACACGGGTCAGAGTGGAGGACACGGGTCAGAGTGTGGAGGACACGGGTCAGAGTGGAGGACACGGGTCAGAGTGTGGAGGACACGGGTCAGAGTGGAGGACAAGGGTCAGTGTGGAGGACACGGGTCAGTGTGGAGGACACGGGTCAGAGTGGAGGACACGGGTCAGAGTGGAGGACACGGGTCAGAGTGTGGAGGACACGGGTCAGAGTGGAGGACACGGGTCAGAGTGTGGAGGACACGGGTCAGAGTGGAGGACACGGGTCAGAGTGTGGAGGACACGGGTCAGAGTGAAGGACAAGGGTCAGTGTGGAGGACACGGGTCAGAGTGTGGAGGACACGGGTCAGAGTGTGGAGGACACGGGTCAGAGTGTGGAGGACACGGGTCAGAGTGGAGGACACGGGTCAGAGTGGAGGACAGGGGTCAGAGTGTGGAGGACATGGGTCAGAGTGGAGGACACGGGTCAGAGTGTGGAGGACACGGGTCAGAGTGTGGAGGACACAGGTCAGAGTGTGGAGGACACGGGTCAGAGTGGAGGACACGGGTCAGGGTGGAGGGCACGGGTCAGAGTGGAGGACACGGGTCAGAGTGTGGAGGACACGGGTCAGAGTGGAGGACACGGGTCAGAGTGGAGGACACGGGTCAGAGTGTGGAGGACACGGGTCAGAGTGTGGAGGACACGGGTCAGAGTGGAGGACACGGGTCAGAGTGTGGAGGACACGGGTCAGAGTGGAGGACACGGGTCAGAGTGTGGAGGACACGGGTCAGAGTGTAGAGGACACAGGTCAGAGTGGAGGACACGGGTCAGAGTGTGGAGGACACGGGTCAGAGTGGAGGACACGGGTCAGAGTGGAGGACACGGGTCAGAGTGGAGGACACGGGTCAGAGTGGAGGACACGGGTCAGAGTGGAGGACACGGGTCAGAGTGGAGGACACGGGTCAGAGTGTGGTGCTCACCGTACTGCGTGATGAAGGCCAGGCAGCTGTCCACGATGATGGGGATGTCGTTCCTGCTCAGCTGCTGCTCCCTCAGCGCGTTCCCTTCCCCGCCCGCAGCCCGCTGGATGTCCGAGAACCAGAGAGAGAAGTCTGAGCGCCCGACGCCCTGCAGGTGGAGCGTCCTGACGGAGACAAGGAACACCGTCACAACCAGCAGTCTAACTATAAAGGTGCAAGTTGCATCATATGCCGGTTAGCATCCGGCAGTTTCTGTGCTTTTTCTTTTAAACTGTTAACTTTTTTTATATTTTGACATTTTTGTGGACTTTTCTTAACAATTCTGACTGTTTCTCATCTTGCTATTTATGCATTGAATATATCATATTCCATGTACTTGTAAACAGACTCTTCTGGCACTATTTCTACTTTATTTGTATTCACTTGCACATCTCAGAACACTCTCTAGCACGTATTTGTTTGATGTGTTTGATGTCCTATATCTCATGCTGCTCTGTTGGAGGAGGACTCCAGTTCCTCAGTAGCTGCTACATGATAGTGAGAGAGCCTTGAGTATCCTCTCACCTCCCCCTCTCCACCAGCACCAGGATGTCCTTCTTCTCCTGGTTCTCCGTCTCCGAGGCGATGCCTTCAACACAAACAGAGAGCGCTGAAGACTTGTGTGTGTGTGTGTGTGTGTGTGTGTGTGTGTGTGTGTGTGTGTGTGTGTGTGTGTGTGTGTGTGTGTGTGTGTGTCTCTCACTGAGCTCCTGCAGGCGCTTCAGGTTGATGATGTCCTCGGCCGCTCCGTCCCTTCGGGGACAGATGAACAGGTTTGTCTTCTGGAGGACGAAGAAGGCGTCCCTCCACTGCTGGGCGTCCAACATGTTCCGGTACCGCAGGACCCCGACACGCTCAAACTCCCGGGACAGAAGACAGTGGACGCTCAGGGGGGACAAAGCCTGGAGACACCCAGAGGACAGACGGATGAAACAGATAATAACTAAACCTGCGATATGCATATAGACAGTTGAGGACAGTGACAGAAGATAGACGGAGAGAGACAGATGAGGACAGACAGATGAGGACAGACAGATCAGGACAGACAGATGAGGACAGACAGATGAGGACAGACAGATCAGGACAGACAGATGAGGACAGACAGATGAGGACAGACAGATGAGGACAGACAGATGAGGACAGACCTTCCCGATGGACCTGGTCCAGCTGTGCAGAGCGTCGGCCGTCTCCAAGCCGAACTGCAGGAGTTTCTCTGAAGACAGACACATCTCGAAGGTGAACCTGAACCTGAGAGGACACACACAGATTTAGAGGTCTCCTATCATGCAGATTGCACGTTTTATGTCTTTTCTACATCACCGTGTGTCCCCGGTGTGTCCCCGGTGTGTCCCCGGTGTGTCAGGAGACTCACAAAGTGATGTATTTTCTACATCACCATGTGTCCCCGGTGTGTCCCTGTGTGTCCCCGTGTGTCCCCGGTGTGTCCCCGGTGTGTCCCCGTGTGTCCCCGGTGTGTCCCTGTGTGTCCCCGTGTGTCCCCGGTGTGTCTCCGGTGTGTCAGGAGACTCACAAAGTGATGTCTTCTCTACATCACCATGTGTCCCCGGTGTGTCCCCGGTGTGTCCCCGGTGTGTCCCTGTGTGTCCCCGGTGTGTCCCCGGTGTGTCCCCGGTGTGTCCCGGTGTGTCCCCAGTGTGTCCCCGGTGTGTCCCCGGTGTGTCCCGGTGTGTCCCCTGTGTGTCTCGGTGTCCCCCCGGTGTGTCCCCGGTGTGTCCCCGGTGTGTCCCGGTGTGTCCCCTGTGTGTCTCGGTGTGTCCCCGGTGTGTCCCCGGTGTGTCCCCTGTGTGTCCCGGTGTGTCCCCTGTGTGTCTCGGTGTGTCCCCGGTGTGTCCCCGGTGTGTCCCCTGTGTGTCCCCGGTGTGTCCCCGGTGTGTCCCCGGTGTGTCCCGGTGTGTCCCCTGTGTGTCTCGGTGTGTCCCCGGTGTGTCAGGAGACTCTCAAAGTGTCAGAAATAAACCCCTCTCTCTTCTCCTCCGTACCCTCATCTCTAAAAACAGGGAACAACGGAGCTGATCCAGATTTGCTGCGTCATGACCACATTACTAAAATGTGGGCGGGCTTTAGACCCACGGGCCAATCAGAAACGTTGCTGTCAGAAACAATGAGACGTGTTCTGGAAGTAATAGAGTGGCGAAGTCCCGGCCTTCTACTTCGCCCCATGGGACCTTATTTCTGAAAAAGTATGCATTGAAGTCAATGGAGAGAGAAAAGTTATCTTTCGATCCCGTTTGAATTGAGCCATGAATTACACATATGATGTTTGGCAATCTTAAAAAATCATTTCCAGGTCAAAAAGTCACAGTTTGTCGTAAAACCGTTGAAATATAAGACTATGAAAAATACGCAACTAGAAAGACTACAAATCCCTGAGTCGCGGTCCCGCATGCTGGCTCTCAGAACAGACTGACTCCCCTTGTGTGTGCAGCTCTCAACGCGCCCAGACTTGGAGTGATTTCCACCTCTTTGAATACTTTCCGCCTCGTTCTGAAAGAAAGGAGTGAAATGTTCCAACGTGCCGTCTTGGTGTTGGAGCGAGACGGGAGATGGAGGTCATTCAGCGTTTCACACAAACAAAGTGTTACTTTGACGACACATTTTTATTTTTTACTTTCAAAATGATCTTTTAAATGGACAAACATCATGTGTGTAATTCCTGGCTCAATTCAAACGGGATGGAAAGATAATCTTTCTCTCTCCATTGACTTCAATGCATACTTTTTCAGAAATAAGGTCCCATGGAGCTCCCCGGAAAGGGAGGGACTTCGTCTCTCTGTCTGTGTTTCCATTAGCAAGCAGCATTTGTTTTAAAGCTACAGACCCAGAGTCATCTCTTTAGTAACAGCTGAAGAGAGAGAGAGGGGGGGGGGACCTGATTGGTGTTTGGAGCAAAACACTTCAGAGACATGTTTTTTAATATATTTTTAGAGACCTATAATTTATGCCTTAAAATAGTATAATAGGAGACCTTTAAGAGTATGTCTCAGAGTAGAGACAAACAACACTTGGACACAGATCTATGAGATATAGAAGCTGTGTGTTAGAGGGGGGGGGACCTGTCGATGAAGCCGTTGTTGTTGGACGCGTCGGGGCGGCTGACCCCCAAACACACGATGTCTCTGACGCTGATCTGCAGGCAGGCTTCAGGGGCCCGGTCCGACTCGTACAGCAGCACCGAGTCGCCCACCGAGCACCAGAACCTCTGGAAGTCTGAGACACACACGGAGCATTTCAGGACTTCATGGAGGACTCTAAAACTCCCAGAATGCATCCTGACAGACTTCAAGCTGCTGCTTCGAGTCCTCCGTCAGTGCTTTACACCTCAATGTCTGCATTTGTTAACGTCTGTTTAAACACACCTGCTCATACACACACACACACACACACACACACACACACACACACACACACACACACACACACACACACACACACACGACTAATGATCAATCATAATGTTCAAAAAATATCTAAAAATGTTCTCATTTCAAGTACACGATAAAGATGATATATCAGCCACATCCTCTGTGTGTCTTTAAGTCGACAAATCCACAAACAGGTTCTAAATAAAGTTCTAAATGAATGTGAAATACCTTCTCTGGTTCTGCGGGACAGCGTCCCCCGGTGGACGGATTTATAGAGGAATCCAGAGTGAAGGACGGGCTGCATGATCTCATCATACACACTGAGGTCTACACACACACACACACACGGACACACGCACGCACACACACACACACACACACACACACACACACACACACACACACACACACACACACACACACACACACATAATATACTTAATTGGACTTTAAAACAGGATTTAACTTCATGAAGATCAGTAGTGTACAGTAGTATATATTAGTATACAGTAGGATACAGTAGTGTACAGTAGTGGTAGTACCTGGTTGAGGCAGCGGTCGTTGGTCCTGGTTTTCGGCCTCGGCCTCCGAGAAGATACGAGTTACAGTCTTCAGGAGAGTCTGTTCAGAGACTGCTGAGCACAGGACCTGAGAGACATGAGTCAGCATTATGAGTCCTTCCTAGCCCAACATTAGCCACCTTTAGCTTAGCGGTGGTGGGAAACATCACATCCTCCACCCTGATCCTCAACACTGGAGCCCCTCAAGGCTGCGTGCTCAGCCCTCTCCTCTACCCCCTGTTCACTCACGACTGCGTGGCCATACACAGCTCCAACACCATCGTGAAGTTTGCTGACGCCACGACCGTCATCGGACAGATCACAGACGGCGACGAGACGGCGTACAGAGAGGAGGTCGAAAACCTGACATCTTGGTGCCAGGATAACAACCTCCATCTCAACGCCAGCAAAACAAAGGAGCTGATTGTGGATTACAGGAAGCAGCAGAGAGAGGGCCACGCCCCCATCACCATCAATGGGACTACGGTGGAGAGAGTCAGCAGCTTCAGGTTCCTCGTGTCCACATCACTGAGGACCTGACATGGACTCATCACTAAGGACCTGACATGGACTCATCACTGAGGACCTGACATGGACTCATCACTGAGGACCTGACATGGACTCATCACTGAGGACCTGACATGGACTCATCACTGAGGACCTGACGTGGACTCATCACTGAGGACCTGACATGGACTCATCACTGAGGACCTGACATGGACTCATCACTGAGGACCTGACGTGGACTCATCACTGAGGACCTGACATGGACTCATCACTGAGGACCTGACATGGACTCATCACTGAGGACCTGACGTGGACTCATCACTGAGGACCTGACATGGACTCATCACTGAGGACCTGACGTGGACTCATCACTGAGGACCTGACATGGACTCATCACTGAGGACCTGACGTGGACTCATCACTGAGGACCTGACATGGACTCATCACTGAGGACCTGACGTGGACTCATCACCAAGGACCTGACATGGACTCATCACTGAGGACCTGACGTGGACTCATCACTGAGGACCTGACTCATCACTGAGGACCTGACATGGACTCATCACTGAGGACCTGACATGGACTCATCACTGAGGACCTGACGTGGACTCATCACTGAGGACCTGACATGGACTCATCACTGAGGACCTGACGTGGACTCATCACCAAGGACCTGACATGGACTCATCACTGAGGACCTGACGTGGACTCATCACTGAGGACCTGACTCATCACTGAGGACCTGACATGGACTCATCACTGAGGACCTGACTCATCACTGAGGACCTGACATGGACTCATCACTGAGGACCTGACATGGACTCATCACTGAGGACCTGACATGGACTCATCACTGAGGACCTGACGTGGACTCATCACCAAGGACCTGACATATACTCATCACTGAGGACCTGACATGGACTCATCACTGAGGACCTGACATGGACTGATCACTGAGGACCTGACATGGACTCATCACTGAGGACCTGACATGGACTCATCACTGAGGACCTGACATGGACTCATCACTGAGGACCTGACTCATCACTGAGGACCTGACATGGACTCATCACTGAGGACCTGACTCATCACTGAGGACCTGACATGGTCTCATCACTGAGGACCTGACTCATCACTGAGGACCTGACATGGACTCATCACTGAGGACCTGACATGGTCTCATCACTGAGGACCTGACATGGACTAATCACTGAGGACCTGACATGGTCTCATCACTGAGGACCTGACATGGACTAATCACTGAGGACCTGACATGGTCTCATCACTGAGGACCTGACATGGACTAATCACTGAGGACCTGACATGGACTCTTCACTGAGGACCTGACATGGTCTCATCACTGAGGACCTGATATGGACACTAACACACTAACGCTGTCACCAAAACAGCTCGACAGCGGCTCTTCTTCCTCCGTAGGCTGAGGAGGTTCAACATGGACTCCAGGATACTCTGACCTTCTGCAGGTGCACCAAAGAGAGCATCCTGACCTTCTACAGGTGCTCCATAGAGAGCATCCTGACCTTCTACAGGTGCTCCATAGAGAGCATCCTGACCTTCTACAGGTGCACCATAGAGAGCATCCTGACCTACAGGTGCTCCATAGAGAGCATCCTGACCTTCCACAGGTGCTCCATAGAGAGGATCCTGACCTTCTACAGGTGCTCCATAGAGAGCATCCTGACCTTCTACAGGTGCTCCATAGAGAGCATCCTGACCTTCCACAGGTGCTCCATAGAGAGGATCCTGACCTTCTACAGGTGCTCCATAGAGAGCATCCTGACCTTCTACAGGTGCTCCATAGAGAGCATCCTGACCTTCTACAGGTGCACCATAGAGAGTATCCTGACCTTCTACAGGTGCACCATAGAGAGCATCCTGACCTTCTACAGGTGCTCCATAGAGAGGACCCTGACCTTCTACAGGTGCACCATAGAGAGCATCCTGACCTTCTACAGGTGCTCCATAGAGAGCATCCTGACCTTCTACAGGTGCTCCATAGAGAGCATCCTGACCTTCTACAGGTGCACCATAGAGAGCATCCTGACCTTCTACAGGTGCTCCATAGAGAGCATCCTGACCTTCTACAGGTGCTCCATAGAGAGCATCCTGACCTTCTACAGGTGCTCCATAGAGAGCATCCTGACCTTCTACAGGTGCTCCATAGAGAGCATCCTGACCTTCTACAGGTGCTCCATAGAGAGATCCTGACGGGCTGCATCACGGCCTGGTACGGCAGCTGCACCGCCCTCAACCGTAAGGCTTTACAGAGGGTGGTGAAAACTGCACAGAACATCACCAGGACGGAGCTGCCATCCATGGAGGACCTCTACTCCCAGCGGCTCAGGAAGAAAGCCCTCCGGAATATCAAAGACCCCCATCCCCCCAGCCACAAACTGTTCTGTCTGCTGCCGTCCGGCAGGCGTTACCGCAGCATCAGGACTAAAACCAATGAGGAATCCCATTGGACCAGGAGATGCTGCCTTCAGGGACACAGGAACAGCTGCAGCTCTGTGTCATGCTTTACTTCTCTAATATCAGAATAAGGGGGTCACCTTGAGCAGCTCCGGCTGGGTGCTGAAGGCCGGGTGGGGCCGGCGGTATCTGCCCTCTCTGTACTTCTGAACGATGAACTCCCTCCTCTGGTCGGGGGGGGCGTCGCAGTCCAGCTCCTCCCCCACTGGCAGGCGGGCCGCCCAGAAATCATTAGCACGGTCGTTACCGAGCATGATGAACAGCTGGCACACACACACACATATACACACACACACACACACACACACACACACACACACACACATATACACACACACACACACACACACACACACACACACACACACACACACATTGGTGGATATATAATTTGTGACGGTCGCAGATTGATCTAAGTGTTTCTTATAGACTGTATAGTGGCAGGGGAAAAGGTTACGGCATGTGGTTTATATTGAAATGAAATGAAATCTGATACATGTGTATTATCCTCGCAACTACAGTTGCTAAATGTCCACTTGCATGTACGGTTTGAGGGTGTGGTCCTGCAAGCCTCATCTGCATATTCACCTGTCGCGGCGCCCAGAGGCTTTTTAGTGGGCTGGGATGCCGGGGGGTGGTTCTCACGGGAGGAGAAAGTGTGTGTGGCGAATGCTGGTATTCAGCGGGATATTGTAATTTCCTCAGCATGTAAATATATGGTTAAGTGCAACGGGGAGTCTGTGGATATTGCATCGACCGACCAAGAAGCACGTGTCCGTGGAGAGGACGCGCTCAGAGAGAGAGATATTCTCTACAACCCCGGGTGACGTCGCTCCTCTGGGACTCGCCGGACCTCGTGTTTCCTTTTTGTGGATTATAGCCTGAAAAGGCCTACAAACATTTCTGTTTTTGCCGCCGACGGGCGCGGACCAATGAACGATAGCCTGGGTTAGGCAGCAAAGACACTTTTGGTTTAATTGTGTTTGTGTCGTGTGGCTGGAAAACTGTCAATATAATGGATCCATGCATGAAATCCGTCTCTGTTTATTTTGTTTATCAGTTCTGTTTACCTTTATAATATTATTTCACTCAAGAACCCCTTCACAAGATCATGAACTGTTTACCCTCCGAGCTGAACTCACCTGGACGATCTCGTTGCTCCACACGCTCGTGTCCAGCTTCAGACTCTGAACCTTTGACACCATCGTCCCCAGACCTCTGTGCTGCCCTGCACACACACACACACACACACACACACACACACACACACACACACACACACACACACACACACACACACACACACACACACACACACACACACACACACACACACACACACACACACACACACACACAGAAAGAGTCTTGAGAAACGAGTCCTGCAGCTTTTTGTTCAACGGAAATCCCAAGGAGTTCAGTTTCAGCTGAGACTAAAACATCTGGACTGATGACACACACACACACACACACACACACACTAACACACAACAATGCAGTTGAACCAGCACAGTGGCACACAGGTACACACTCACACACACCTCTCTCACACTCCTCCTGTGAGAAGTCGTGCCCTCCGCTCTCACCCCAGGTTCATAAAGGATGTAGTTATGCAGCAGCTCTTGAAATGCATGAAGTGTGAGCTCGGAAAGTAACTCATTATTATTACTAATATATAAATATTACTACATCGATTTTCTTTCATTGACAACTTTTTCTGAAAATACTGACTTGATTCTGAAAAGGCAGAAATCAGACTTTGTTATAGAAATCTGCATTTTTGAAATTCTCAACATTCTGAAATTCTCTAGAAATCTTAAAATTCTGACTTTTTTCCCAAAATCTTAATATTTTCACTATTGCATTATAGTCGCTAATTCAGACTTTACTAATACTTACTTTTTTCTCTAAATTCTAACTTATTTCTCAAAATCTTCAAGTTCGGACTTTTTTCTCAACATTTCCAAATATGTCAGCTCCTCTGTGATTTCCCTGTAAACGACAGGAGGTCTGTGTGTGGATCTGATTGGACGAGAGTAGGTACCGGCGCAGTTCTTGCAGATGACGACGCTCAGGTTGATGGAGGCCCAGTCCGGGTTCAGCGCCCGGCAGTCGGCACACGTCCTGTTGGAGCGGTTCGACCAGATCTTCTCTGCCACCTCGTAGTCCGACAGCGTCTCGGCGATGGCGTCCTGCAGCGCCTCCATCCAGACGCGCTTCTCCCGCTCACACTCCGCCGTGAAGCTGAGGAACATTCAAACATTCAAAGACTCAAAGACTCATCATCAAACGCAAAGTGGCTACAAACATCTGAAGTCCATGGATCCTCCAACAGTGCAACACAAATATACACAAGACGTAAAACAATAAAGCAAAGAAAGAAACAATCAAAAGAGTTCAAGAAGAACAGATTCAAATAGAGTCAGTGCAGATGATGTTGCAAGAGCAATGTGCAAGTCATGCAGAAGTAACTGGATACAAGTTAAACAACATAGTCAATGTTGCAGAGACCAAGTCAATGCTCTATGCAAACAGAGGAGGGGATGCAGAGCTAACGTTAGCGCTGCAGCTAACGTTAGCTACAGATCTGCACACTACAGTCTTCTACCTGACTACCCCCCCCCCCCCCCCCCCCTCCCTGCAGTGACCCTGCGTACCTGAAGGTTTTGTACGGGGTGATGAGGTCGAAGCTCTTGTGTTTTCCGTCTCTGATCGTCGATCCTCGAGCTTCAATCACCGTGATGCCGATCCCGTTAAGAAAACACTACACACACACACACACACACACACACACACACACACACACACACACACACACACACACACACACACACACACACACACACACACACACACACACACACACACACACACACACACACACACACACCTCTTCAGTATCTTCTCACCTGTCTGTATCTTCTCACCTGTCAGTATCTTCTCACCTGCTCGCTCTTGTAGATCCAGATCTGCTCGGTGTTGATGGCGGCGAACACTCTGTTTTTGTGGCCCTTCAGCTCGAGGGCCCCGTGTTTCTGACACTGAGCTCCGGGGCCGAAAGTCCGCTGGCCGAAAACCATCTGATCTCTGACGTGTTCCTGCAGAGTGACCAGCCAGCGGCGCCGCAGCACTGGGGGGTGTTACACCATGTGTTATTACACAATGTGGTGTTATAACACAAAGTGGTGTTATAACACAATGTGGTGTTATAACACAATGTGGTGTTATAACACAAAGTGGTGTTATAACACAATGTGGTGTTATTACACAATATGGTGTTATTACACAATGTGATGTTATTACACAATGTGGTGTTATAACACAAAGTGGTGTTATAACACAAAGTGGTGTTATTACACAATGTGGTGTTATTACACAATGTGGTGTTATAACACAAAGTGGTGTTATAACACAAAGTGGTGTTATTACACAATGTGGTGTTATTACACAAAGTGGTGTTATAACACAATGTGATGTTATTACACAATGTGGTGTTATAACACAATGTGGTGTTATAACACAAAGTGGTGTTATTACACAAAGTGGTGTTATAACACAAAGTGGTGTTATTACACAAAGTGGTGTTATTACACAATGTGGTGTTATAACACAAAGTGGTGTTATAACACAATGTGGTGTTATAACACAAAGTGGTGTTATAACACAAAGTGGTGTTATTACACAAAGTGGTGTTATAACACAATGTGGTGTTATTACACAATGTGATGTTATTACACAATGTGGTGTTATAACACAATGTGGTGTTATAACACAAAGTGGTGTTATTACACAAAGTGGTGTTATAACACAAAGTGGTGTTATTACACAAAGTGGTGTTATAACACAATGTGGTGTTATTACACAATGTGGTGTTATAACACAAAGTGGTATTATAACACAAAGTGGTGTTATTACACAAAGTGGTGTTATAACACAATGTGGTGTTATTACACAATGTGATGTTATTACACAATGTGGTGTTATAACACAAAGTGGTGTTATTACACAAAGTGGTGTTATAACACAATGTGGTGTTATTACACAATGTGGTGTTATAACACAAAGTGGTATTATAACACAAAGTGGTGTTATTACACAATGTGGTGTTATAACACAAAGTGGTGTTATAACACAAAGTGGTGTTATTACACAATGTGGTGTTATTACACAAAGTGGTGTTATAACACAATGTGGTGTTATTACACAATGTGATGTTATTACACAATGTGGTGTTATTACACAATGTGGTGTTATAACACAAAGTGGTGTTATTACACAAAGTGGTGTTATAACACAAAGTGGTGTTATTACACAATGTGGTGTTATAACACAATGTGGTGTTATAACACAAAGTGGGGTCATTACACAATGTGATGTTATTACAAAAAGTGGTGTTATAACACAAAGTGGTGTTATTACACAATGTGGTGTTATAACACAAAGTGGTGTTATTACACAATGTGGTGTTATAACACAAAGTGGTGTTATAACACAAAGTGGGGTCATTACACAATGTGATGTTATTACACAAAGTGGTGTTATAACACAAAGTGGTGTTATAACACAAAGTGGTGTTATTACACAAAGTGGTGTTATAACACAAAGTGGTGTTATAACACAAAGTGGTGTTATTACACAACGTGATGTTATAACACAAAGTGGTGTTATAACACAAAGTGGTGTTATTACACAACGTGATGTTATAACACAAAGTGGTGTTATAACACAAAGTGGTGTTATTACAGAAAGTGGTGTTATAACACAAAGTGGTGTTATTACATAATGTGATGTTATTACACAAAGTGGTGTTATAACACAAAGTGGTGTTATTACACAATGTGGTGTTATAACTCAAAGTGGTGTTATAACACAAAGTGGTGTTATTACACAATGTGATGTTATTACACAAAGTGGTGTTATAACACAAAGTGGTGTTATTACACAAAGTGGTGTTATAACACAAAGTGGTGTTATTACACAATGTGATGTTATTACACAAAGTGGTGTTATTACACAATGTGGTGTTATTACACAATGTGGTGTTATAACACAAAGTGGTGTTATTACACAATGTGGTGTTATAACACAACGTGGTGTTATTACACAAAGTGGTGTTATTACACAATGTGGTGTTATAACACAAAGTGGTGTTATTACACAAAGTGGTGTTATTACACAATGTGGTGTTATAACACAAAGTGGTGTTATTACACAAAGTGGTGTTATTACACAATGTGGTGTTATAACACAAAGTGGTGTTATTACACAATGTGGTGTTATAACACAAAGTGGTGTTATTACACAATGTGATGTTATTACACAAAGTGGTGTTATAACACAAAGTGGTGTTATTACACAAAGTGGTGTTATAACACAAAGTGGTGTTATTACACAATGTGATGTTATTACACAAAGTGGTGTTATTACACAATGTGGTGTTATTACACAATGTGGTGTTATAACACAAAGTGGTGTTATTACACAATGTGGTGTTATAACACAACGTGGTGTTATTACACAAAGTGGTGTTATTACACAATGTGGTGTTATAACACAAAGTGGTGTTATTACACAATGTGGTGTTATAACACAAAGTGGAGTTATAACACAAAGTGGTGTTATTACACAAAGTGGTGTTATAACACAAAGTGATGTTATAACACAAAGTGGTGTTATTACACAAAGTGGTGTTATTACACAAAGTGGTGTTATTACACAATGTGGTGTTATAACACAAAGTGGTGTTATTACACAAAGTGGTGTTATTACACAAAGTGGTGTTATTACACAAAGTGATGTTATTACACAATGTGGTGTTATAACACAAAGTGGTGTTATAACACAAAGTGGTGTTATTACACAAAGTGGTGTTATTACACAATGTGGTGTTATAACACAAAGTGGTGTTATTACACAAAGTGGTGTTATTACACAAAGTGGTGTTATTACACAATGTGGTGTTATAACACAAAGTGGAGTTATTACACAAAGTGGTGTTATTACACAAAGTGGTGTTATTACACAATGTGATGTTATTACACAAAGTGGTGTTATTACACAATGTGATGTTATTACACAATGTGATGTTATTACACAAAGTGGTGTTATTACACAAAGTGGTGTTATTACACAAAGTGGTGTTATTACACAATGTGGTGTTATAACACAAAGTGGAGTTATTACACAAAGTGGTGTTATAACACAAAGTGGTGTTATTACACAATGTGATGTTATTACACAAAGTGGTGTTATTACACAACGTGATGTTATAACACAAAGTGGTGTTATAACACAAAGTGATGTTATAACACAAAGTGGTGTTATTACACAACGTGATGTTATAACACAAAGTGGTGTTATAACACAAAGTGATGTTATTACACAATGTGGTGTTATAACACAAAGTGGTGTTATTACACAAAGTGGTGTTATTACACAAAGTGGTGTTATTACACAATGTGGTGTTATAACACAAAGTGGTGTTATTACACAAAGTGGTGTTATAACACAAAGTGGTGTTATAACACAAAGTGGTGTTATTACACAATGTGGTGTTATTACACAAAGTGGTGTTATAACACAATGTGGTGTTATAACACAAAGTGGTGTTATTACACAAAGTGGTGTTATTACACAAAGTGATGTTATTACACAATGTGGTGTTATAACACAAAGTGGTGTTATTACACAATGTGGTGTTATAACGCAAAGTGGTGTTATAACAAAAAGTGGTGTTATTACACAATGTGGTGTTATTACACAATGTGGTGTTATTACACAAAGTGGTGTTATAACACAAAGTGGTGTTATTACACAAAGTGGTGTTATTACACAAAGTGGTGTTATTACACAAAGTGGTGTTATTACACAAAGTGATGTTATTACACAATGTGGTGTTATAACACAAAGTGGTGTTATTACACAATGTGGTGTTATAACACAAAGTGGTGTTATTACACAAAGTGGTGTTATTACACAAAGTGATGTTATTACACAATGTAGTGTTATAACACAAAGTGGTGTTATAACACAAAGTGGTGTTATTACACAATGTGATGATAACACAAAGTGATGTTATTACACAAAGTGGTGTTATTACACAATGTGGTGTTATAACACAAAGTGATGTTATTACACAAAGTGGTGTTATTACACAAAGTGGTGTTATAACACAAAGTGGTGTTATAACACAATGTGGTGTTATTACACAAAGTGGTGTTATAACACAAAGTGATGTTATTACACAAAGTGGTGTTATAACACAAAGTGATGTTATTACACAAAGTGGTGTTATAACACAAAGTGATGTTATTACACAAAGTGGTGTTATAACACAAAGTGGTGTTATAACACAAAGTGGTGTTATTACACAATGTGATGATAACACAATGTGGTGTTATTACACAAAGTGGTGTTATAACACAAAGTGGTGTTATAACACAAAGTGGTGTTATTACACAATGTGATGATAACACAATGTGGTGTTATTACACAAAGTGGTGTTATAACACAAAGTGGTGTTATAACACAAAGTGGTGTTATTACACAAAGTGGTGTTATTACACAACGTGGTGTTATAACACAATGTGGTGTTATAACACAAAGTGGTGTTATAACACAAAGTGGTGTTATTACACAATGTGGTGTTATAACACAAAGTGGTGTTATTACACAAAGTGGTTTTATAACACAAACTGGTGTTATAACACAATGTGGTGTTATAACACAAAGTGGTGTTATAACACAATGTGGTGTTATAACACAAAGTGGTGTTATAACACAAAGTGGTGTTATAACACAATGTGGTGTTATTACACGTGTGTTTTCTACCTTCATTGTCAGTCCTGAAAACAAAGATTCGATGACTTGTCACAATTTCAAATTTGTGGTCTTTGGTTGGGCGGGCAATCTGAATGGCAGCCAATGGGATGACTCCTTTTGGGTAAACGTCCTGAAACACAAACATTAGAATGATCTAAACATTAGAACAATATAAGTATTAAATATCATCTACTCCTCATTAACAGCTGATGTAATCTTCCCTCCGAAAGAAAAGAAGAAAACAATGAAATATTTGTTCCTTCACTTCCTCTCTGATAAATGAACTCTTTATACCTTCTCACTGCCAAAGTACATCAGGTGTCTGCCGTCAAACTTCACATAGCGCTTCTGGAAAACATAGTTCCTGAGAAATGAAACAAACATCAGATACAGAGGCAGTCACATGACCACTTTCCCACAGACACACATCAGATACAGAGGCAGTCACATGACCACTTTCCCACAGACACACATCACACCTGTAGTTTATACTCTAACAACACTGCGAAGCTGTGAGGGAAATATTCCAGATGTATAAACCTGAAGCATCATCACCTGATTCAGACACCGGCCTAACTCCTCCATCACGAGCAGCTCTTAGTAAACGCTGCATGTCTCCTCAAGCTGCTGGATGTTCTCTAGACGCTGCCATGTCTCCTCAAGCTGCTGGATGTTCTCTAAACGCTGCCATGTCTCCTCAAGCTGCTGGATGTTCTCTAAACGCTGCCATGTCTCCTCAAGCTGCTGGATGTTCTCTAAACGCTGCCATGTCTCCTCAAGCTGCTGGATGTTCTCTAAACGCTGCCATGTCTCCCAAGCTGCTGAGTGTTCTCTAAACGCTGCCATGTCTCCTCAAGCTGCTGGATGTTCTCTAAACGCTGCCATGTCTCCTCAAGCTGCTGGGTGTTCTCTAAACGCTGCCATGTCTCCTCAAGCTGCTGGATGTTCTCTAAACGCTGCCATGTCTCCTCAAGCTGCTGGATGTTCTCTAAACGCTGCCATGTCTCCTCAAGCTGCTGGATGTTCTCTAAACGCTGCCATGTCTCCTCAGCTGCTGGATGTTCTCTAAACGCTGCCATGTCTCCTCAAGCTGCTGGATGTTCTCTAAACGCTGCCATGTCTCCTCAAGCTGCTGAGTGTTCTCTACACGCTGCCATGTCTCCTCAAGCTGCTGGATGTTCTCTAAACGCTGCCATGTCTCCTCAAGCTGCTGGGTGTTCTCTAAACGCTGCATGTCTCCTCAAGCTGCTGAGTGTTCTCTAAACGCTGCCATGTCTCCTCAAACTGCTGGGTGTTCTCTAACGCTGCATGTCTCCTCAAGCTGCTGGATGTTCTCTAAACGCTGCCATGTCTCCTCAAGCTGCTGAGTGTTCTCTAAATGCTGCCATGTCTCCTCAAGCTGCTGGATGTTCTCTAAACGCTGCCATGTCTCCTCAAGCTGCTGGATGTTCTCTAGACGCTGCCATGTCTCCTCAAGCTGCTGGGTGTTCCTCTAAAACGCTGCCATGTCTCCTCCAGCTGCTGGATGTTCTCTAAACGCTGCCATGTCTCCTCAAGCTGCTGGGTGGTCTCTAAACGCTGCCATGTCTCCTCAAGCTGCTGGATGTTCTCTAAACGCTGCCATGTCTCCTCAGCTGCTGGATGTTCTCTAAACGCTGCCATGTCTCCTCAAGCTGCTGAGTGTTCTCTAAACGCTGCCATGTCTCCTCAAGCTGTGGATGTTCTCTAAACGCTGCCATGTCTATAAGCTGCTGAGTGTTCTCTAAACGCTGCCATGTCTCCTCAAGCTGCTGGGTGTTCTTAAAACTGCCATGTGTCTCTCAAGCTGCTGGGGTGTTCTCTAAACGCTGCCATGTCTCTCAAGCTGCTGGATGTTCTCTAAACGCTGCCATGTCTCCTCAAGCTGCTGGGGTTCTCTAAACGCTGCCATGTCTCCTCAAGATGCTCGGTGTTCTCTAAACGCTGCCATGTCTCCTCAAGCTGCTGGATGTTCTCTAAACGCTGCCATGTCTCCTAAGCTGCTGGAGTTCTCTAAACGCTGCCATGTCTCCTCAAGCTGCTGGTGTCTCTAAACGCTGCCATGTCTCCTCAAGCTGCTGGATGTTCTCTAACGTGCCAGTCTCTCAGCTGCTGGATGTTCTCTAAACGCTTGCCATGTCTCCTCAAGCTGCTGGATGTTCTATAACGCTGCCATGTTCAAGCTGCTGGATGTTCTCTAAACGCTGCCAGTTCCTCAAGCTGCTGGATGTTCTCTAAACGCTGCCATGTCTCCTCAAGCTGCCGGATGTTCTCTAAACGCTGCCATGTCTCCTCAAGCTCAAGCTGGATGCTGGATGTTCCTCGCGCTTTTAAACGCTTGCATGTCTCCTCAAGCTGCTGTAGTTTCTCTA